CAGTCTTGTGATATGCCTTATTGATATACCCAGAGGGTAATTATCCATTGCTGCACGAGTTGGAGTGGTTTTTGAGCACAGTTGAATATAGTGTGGTGATATACACAGGAATGCTTCACTGATTTGTTGGAGTGTACACGTTTTGGAGTGTTTCACATTGAAAAGTTGGTTTATATTTTGAAGGTTATGGAATATATGTGCATGTGCAGTTGAATGCATCTATATCCATACTCTTGTTAATCTCACATTTTTTTTTTTTGCACAAGTGTGGGGTATATATTTTTTTTGTATAAAGGATATGACCAGCAATGGGCAAACTACGGCCCGGCGGACCTCTTAATCCGGCCCGCGGAGCGTGATACTGTCAGGATGGCTGTCAGGATGTGTGTAGGCGGGGGCAGCATGACGAACGTGAGGGGAGCTAGGCTCCTCTCACAGTCCGCCCTGAAGACCGGAACGGCGCGGGAACACGGCGAGAGGAACGCGCGGAGCAAAGGTAAGTAAATTGACACAGGGGGGACTTGGCTTACTACTTGGGGGGGGGGGTGGGGAATAGTACTATGGGGGATGAAATACTATATGAGGGATGAATTAATATGGGGGATGAATTAATATGGGGAATGAATTACTATAGGGGGGATGAATTACTATAGGGGGGATGAATTACTATAGGGGGGATGAATTACTATATGGGGGATGAATTACTATGGGGGATGAATTACTATATGGGGGATTAATTACTATGGGGGATGAATTACTATGGGGGATTAATTACTATGGGGGATGAATTACTATATGGGGGATGAATTACTATGGGGGATGAATTACTATGGGGGATGAATTACTATGGGGGGGGAATTACTATATGGGGGATTAATTACTATGGGGGATGAATTACTATGGGGGATGAATTACTATATGGGGGATTAATTACTATGGGGATGAATTACTATATGGGGGATTAATTACTATGGGGGATGAAATACTATGGGGGATTAATTACTATGGGGGATGAATTACTATATGGGGGATGAATTACTATAGGGGGGATGAATTACTATATGGGGGATTAATTACTATGGTTGATGAATTACTATGGGGGATGAATTACTATATCTACTCTTGGTCCGGCCCCCGGGTCCAATATATGAACCCATTGCGGCCCTCAAGTCAAAAAGTTTGCCCACCCCTGGATATGACACTATTTTGAGTTTTTGTTTTTTTGAGGTATATGATCACTACAGACTTCCGGAATTGAGAATAACTTTTGAAAGAAGAAAAAGATTGTTTCACGGATGTGGTTTAGAACATTGGGGACACTTTAATTTTTTATATTGGACACTTTTGTATGTAGATTGCATTTTTTGTAAAAAGAAAAGTTTTCTTTGATATATTTTAATTAACTTTCAAGGGTGGAAGTATTCTACTTTTCTATATATTTGGAAGGGTTTTGAGTAAGTGTGGTGCTGTTTAATTAATATATCCCTATGCAATGCCGCATGGTAAGCCCGAGTGTAGCTCGGGGTTACCGCTTTTGGTACTGACATTTTACCCCGAGCTACACTCGGGAATACCTCTAGGGAGGTTAAAGGAACCATTAGGAAGCCCATGAAGAGAGTGTGGAACCAAGCTCAACTTTTACAGGTATAGCCAAGATTTCCAAATCTATTCAACCGCCTCCATCTCTACTAATCATTTCAACTTTCCACTCAACACATCCTTCTTACTAATTTTTTCATCAGATGCTCGGATTGATTTGCTCGGGCTTGTGACGAGTGTACTGTGTGCATGCTTGTTACCATGGCAGCTGTGAGGACAGGTTGGGGGAGATTTGGGTATCACTGTGATGTTCTGAGGTGCTGGATAGCAGCTGAACCTTTCTCACGTATCGGTTTTCCATTTCTTGGTGCCATGGTAACCTACAAACACACGTTTATTTGTTCGATTTTTTTATTCTGTTAGGCCTGGTACACAACTATGCGTTTTTTAGTGCTTTTTGAATTTTAACATGGTTTCCTATGATCCGCGTTCACATCCATGTGTTTTTCAGCCGCTGCGTTTTTGGATTGGGTCAGGGATATTTTTCCCAGCAGCAGATTGCAACACGCATAAGTAAACCATGCCTTACGTATGCCTACTACATGTTCAACTTTTAACCACTTTCCCGCCGCCCTATAGCAAAAATACTGCTACAGGGTGGCAGGGGTGTGCAAAATCACGTATATATACACGTGAGTTTGCATTTCTGGTAGGGGGCGTGCACAAGCCCTACCCATTCCGCCTCACCTGTCGATCACCATGTCCCGACTGGTGATTCCCCGCCAGCACCCGGCAATTGCCGTGTATCACTGACAGGGGAGAGACCTGCATATAAACAATACAGATCTCTCCCCTGTCAGCTCCTGCACATTGCTTTGTATGCAGAGCCATGCAAAGCAGTGTGCTTACAGTGGAGCACACACACAGTCCACATAGTAAAACAGCACACAGTTAACCCTTTGATCGCCCCACATGTTAACCCCTTCAGTAAGGCTAAGTTCACACTAACTTTGTTATCAGGCGTTAGACAGGTGTTTGGGAAGAGTTTTTAATGCTCCTCAAATGCCTATGAAAATTCTACACATGGCAGCACACAGTGCTGTTCACACTGAAGCGTTAGCGTCGTGTCAAAATTGACGCCTCATGTACAGTCAGGAGGAGTTGAAGCCTCCCATTGAAGTCTATGGTGACGCTCTTCAAACGCCTGGCAGGCGTTTGCGGGGTGTTTACGAGGCGTTTGCAGAGTGTTAATAACATTAAACTTCATTATAGGCGTTTGTGGTGCGGTTTTTAATGCTTGGCAAATGCCTATCAAAGGCCTCAAAAACGCGCATAGGGCATTTGGGGAGCATTTGAAGAATGTTAAGAAAGCTTCCCAAACGCCAGTCTAATGCCTGTCACACGCTATAGGGGTGCTTGGCAAGAGTTAGAAATTAGTCAAATGTGAATGAGCCTAAAACACACACAGACAACACGGTAAAACAGCACACAGTTAACCATTTGATCCCCCCAAATGTTAACCCCTTTCTGCCCTAGTGTCATTAGTACAGTGTCAGCGCTTTTTATTAGCATTGATCACTGTATTGGTGTCACTGGGGATGTCAGTGACACCAAGTCAGTCCCCCCCCCCCCCCCCAGTGTCAGGATGTCCGCCGCAGTCCCGCTATAAGTCGCTGATTGCCGCCATTACTAGTATTAAAAAAAAATTTTTTTTTAGTATCTATACCGCCGTTTGTAAACGCTATAACTTTCACATAAACCAATTAATTCCCATATATTGATTTTTTTTTTTTAGCAAAGACATGTAGCACAATACATTTTGACCTAAATTTATGGCAAAATTTTTATAAATATTTTTTTTAAATTTTTTTACTGGACATGTTTAATAGGAAAAATTGTTTTTTTTTTTTGTATTTTTAATAGCGCAAAAAAAATAAAAAATGCAGAGGCGATCAAATACCACCAAAAGAAAGCTCTATTTGTGGGAAAAAAAAGGATATAAATTTCATTTGAGTGCAACGTTGTATGACATCGCAATTCAGTTAAAGTAACGCAGCGCCGTATCGCAAAAAAAAACAGCCTGGTCAGGAGGGGGGTAAATCCTCTGGAGGGCAAGTGTTTCATAAAGTCATCCTTGTGTTCAAAATCAGTGTGAAACTTTAAGGCTTGTTTACACTTGCTTTGATTTTAACACACCTTAGAGCGCCTACCGCGTCAACATGCATTTTTTATGCGCTTTTATGAGTTTTTTAATGTTAATGCATGCACTACTTTTGGTGCTGCCCAGTGAAATTTCAGCCCATTCAAATGAACGGCTGAAAATCCAACTACACTGAGACACACAGAAATCGTTCATGAATGCATCCAGAGAGAAGGAGAAATTATTTTTTACAGCCTTTATGGGTGTAAAAGCAATCAGTGTAAAAAAAAAAAATCTTCATCACCCCCCACAAGTAGTACAGTGTCACTATGGTGACACTGTACTGCTAGGGTGACAGTATGTAAAAAAAAAACATCAAATAACAATATAAAAAAATAAAATAAAAATGTGTAAAAAAAAATTTAGAAAAATTATAATTATTGGTTATAAACTAATTTGGGTTATTTTTTTTTACTAAAATGATAATTGAATACATTTTGGACAAGATTTATGAAAAAAGATTATTTATTTGCAAAATTGTATAAGAACACTTTTTTTTTTTTTTTGACTTTTTCATTTATATAGCAAAAAAAATATAAATCCCAGTGGTGAATGAATACCACTAAAATAAAGTTTTATCTCTCTCAAAAAAATGCTAAAAAATTCATATGGGTGTTGCATGACCGCGCAAAATTCAAAGTGTGATAGCACTGAAAGCTGAAAATTGGCCTGAACAGGAAGGGGGTAAAAGTGTCCGGACTTGAAGTGGTTAACACATTATCCTTACTGAACTGCTCTTGAATGGAATTGGTACAGGGATTCAGGGTCAATGTCAGCAGTGTCAACAGCAACCTCTGCAATTTGAATGCTATATTACTGGATTTGGGCTATCTTCACGTGCACAGAGACTTTTTGCCTCAATAGCCCCCTATTAGGGCTCCATATTCAACTCCAAGCCCCACTGCAGCCACATGGATGCTATGACTATTGTTATGTCACTGCCAGGGAATCACCAGAAGGCCACATTAATGAAGAACAAGTGATTGCAAGGTTAACCATTTTAACCTATACGAATGTACACATTTAGAAGGTTTTATTATGCACATAATAGTTGACAGCTAAACAATGCTAGGTGCATTATAACTAATTTCACAGGTTTACTGAATTCTTAATGAGGCTAATTTAAAAAAAAGAACCATCTTATAAAAAAGAACAATCTGACAAATTGCATTAGATCAGTGTTTGTCAACCTTTTTTTACTCAAGTCACCCTTTAAAATTATGGACAATGTCAAGGCACCCTCTAAAATTATGGACAATGTCAAGGCACCCTTTAAAATTATGGACAGTCCCAAGGCACCCTCTAAAATTATGGACAGTCCCAATGCACCCTCTACAATTATGGACCGTCCCAAGGTACCCTCTAAAATTATGGACAGTCCCAAGGTACCCTCTAAAATTATGGACAGTCCCAAGGTACCCTCTAAAATTATGGACAGTCCCAAAGCACCCTCTAAAATTATGGACAGTCCCAATGCACCCTCTACAATTATGGACAGTCCCAAGGTACCCTCTATAATTATGGACAGTCCCAAGGCACCCTCTAAAATTATGGACAATGTCAAGGCACCCTCTAAAGTTATGGACAATGTCAAGGCACCCTCTAAAATTATGGACAATGTCAAGGCACCCTCTAAAATTATGGACAATGTCAAGGCACCCTCTAAAATTATGGACAATGTCAAGGCACCCTCTAAAGTTATGGACAATGTCAAGGCACCCTCTAAAATTATGGACAGTCCCAAGGCACCCTCTAAAATTATGGACAGTCCCGAGGCACCCTCTAAAATGATGGACTGTCCCAAGGCACCCTCTAAAGTTATGGACAGTCCCAAGGCACCCTCTAAAATTATGGACAATGTCAAGGCACCCTCTAAAATTATGGACAATGTCAAGGCACCCTTTAAAATTATGGACAATGTCAAGGCACCCTCTAAAATTATGGACAACGTCAAGGCACCCTTTAAAATTATGGACAATGTCAAGGCACCCTTTAAAATTATGGACAGTCCCAAGGCACCCTCTAAAATTATGGACAGTCCCAATGCACCCTCTACAATTATGGACCGTCCCAAGGTACCCTCTAAAATTATGGACAGTCCCAAGGTACCCCTCTAAAATTATGGACAGTCCCAAGGCACCCTCTAAAATTATGGACAATGTCAAGGCACCCTCTAAAGTTATGGACAATGTCAAGGCACCCTCTAAAATTATGGACAATGTCAAGGCACCCTCTAAAGTTATGGACAATGTCAAGGCACCCTCTAAAATTATGGACAGTCCCAAGGCACCCTCTAAAATTATGGACAGTCCCGAGGCACCCTCTAAAATGATGGACTGTCCCAAGGCACCCTCTAAAGTTATGGACAGTCCCAAGGCACCCTCTAAAATTATGGACAATGTCAAGGCACCCTTTAAAATTATGGACAATGTCAAGGCACCCTTTAAAATTATGGACAGTCCCAAGGCACCCTCTAAAATTATGGACAGTCCCAAGGCACCCTCTACAATTATGGACCGTCCCAAGGTACCCTCTAAAATTATGGACAGTCCCAAGGTACCCTCTAAAATTATGGACAGTCCCAAGGTACCCTCTAAAATTATGGACAGTCCCAAGGCACCCTCTAAAATTATGGACAGTCCCAATGCACCCTCTACAATTATGGACAGTCCCAAGGTACCCTCTAAAATTATGGACAGTCCCAAGGCACCCTCTAAAATTATGGACAATGTCAAGGCACCCTCTAAAGTTATGGACAATGTCAAGGCACCCTCTAAAATTATGGACAGTCCCAAGGCACCCTCTAAAATTATGGACAGTCCCGAGGCACCCTCTAAAATGATGGACTGTCCCAAGGCACCCTCTAAAGTTATGGACAGTCCCAAGGCACCCTCTAAAATTATGGACAGCCCCGAGGCACCCTTTAAAACTATGGACAGTCCCAATGCACCCCATTCTAAAATGTAAAAAACTATTCTAATAGTTTTATATAACGCAGCAACATCCACACATGTAGGACACCCAACATTAGAGGGGATTTATTCTTCCAAAGCAAATACACTTTTGCATGCTGGTGCTGACTAGCATTCCATTGTTTCTCTTCTCCCTCACTTTTTCTCTATCACTCAGCTAATGTGACCCCAGTACTGATGGAGAGGGGCAGGGGAGGGTCAAACAAATATGCTGTGCAGGTAACTGACATCCTCCTTATCAACTGATGATGTCATTGGTTGTCAGGATGCTGGCGGCTAGAAGGTCGTAATGGTGCACAATGAAAACCTGAGGCTTTTTGTAACTAAAAGACAAGCTTGATCCACCCGCTGGCTTGTATACAAGTTTTGGGCAATTTGTAGACATTTTGCCAAGGCACCACTAAAGAAACCTCAAGGCACCCCAGTGTGCCTGGGCACCCTGGTTGAGAAAGGATGCACTAGATAACAAAATTATGTTGTCAGTAAAGTAATAAGAAGTAGCAATGTCTACCGCTCATCATGAAACTACATTGTATAGACAAAAGGTTTGTTGACACGCTGACCATCACACCTATATAACCTTGTTGGGTACAGGGGCGGACTGACCATTTGGAAACTCAGGCACTGCCCCAGGCCCGGGTCAGTAGGGGGCCCCCATGAGATGCCCCTGGTACCTTTTTCATAGGCTTTTTTGAGTTTGGGCAAGGACACAGGGGCCCCATGATCCCTTATTGCCCGGGGGGCCCCATGAGTGGTCAGTCCTCCCCTGGTTGGGTAATTCCATTCTACAATTAAAAATAAAAAGGAAACGCGCAACTGTGACCAAGAGCAAAGAACTTAAAATAAAGCTGCACACAAAATAGGAGATATCATCCTAAATTATTATTATTATTATACAAGTTTTTTTTATAGCACCAACAGTTTGCGTAGCGCTTTGATTTGAACATTGTCTAACAAAGGAGTATAAGATGAAGAACTGGCAACTCGTTCTGCCGATAAAAGTACTTTATTCATTACAGCAGCTTACGCGTTTTGGTAAAGACCTTATTCTGAGAAAATGCCAAAAAAAAGGAAAATTCAAAATGGAAGGAAGATTCAAGGAAAATTCCAAAAAATGCCAATTCCACTTTTCCACATTTTTTTCATTCCATTTTGAATTTTCCTTTTTTGGCATTTTCTCAGTAGCCGTGACTTTCCATCCACTTACATTTTAATCCTTTTGTCACCTTACAACAATGGTTCAATTACATGTGTACTAATTCAATTGGTTAATTGAGTGATAATTAGCCCCCATCTCCATATATATATATAACATCGTGCTTCCACCTCCCCCTGCTTGATAAATGAGCGCACTTCCTCCTTTCCCGGCCAGCGCATGCTCCGAAACGCGTCAAAGTGCGCCTTGGGTATCTGACGTCATCACGGCCACGCCGTCGCTGCGTTCCAGCGTGTGTTCCACCCAGCTCTCGTGCACGCTGGCCGGCTCCACAGCTGTTCCCCTTCCAGCCACCATGCTGCTCCTGCGGCACGCTGACTACTCCATACTCCACATCGATGACAGCTCTTCACCCTGTATACCCACCTACTGATGGTTACACCAACCACGGTTTTTATACTAATACTTACCTTATCTATGTGAGTGTTCCTACCTTTAAACCTAAATAAAGTGTTATACTGCACTTAGAGGCGCTTCTTCTCCTCTTTTCCATCTGAGTGTGCCCGCAGCCCATCCCCACTCTGTGCCCATTCCTCTCCCCCACTCTCAGCCTCCCTTTGTTCTTTAACAGGGGAGCACGGAGTTGGAGCGGAGTCACAGGGAGAACAATCTCTGCACCATAAACCGGAGAGTCGTGCGGGGTTAACCCCTAAAGCGCTGTTGGCTTTTTTGATATAAAAAAGCCCAATAGCTTTGGTAAGAACTCTTGAATGTCTGTGGATTTCACCAGGATCTTAGAGTTGTCATCTTCCGCCTTTCTTGACTCACTGAATGTGGTTTTTTTTCCATTTCTGTGGATGGTTGGGTTTCACTCATTCAAGGAGTGTTTTTTGAGCACAAATCTTTGTGTATCTTACGGACTTTAACACTATCTAGCATGGACTTTCGTACATTTTCATATGAATAAAAGTGCAGCGCTAATTAATCTAAGATTGTCCACTGTAAGTCCAGTTCATATAAATGTGCCAGGTGACAGATGAAAATCCACAATGGTGATCCGTGAGGAAGTAGCAGAAATGCGCACTCACCAGAAGGCGGATATATATAAGCAGTATATATCAAAAGCTCATGAATCCTCGGTCAAGAAGAGATAGATCTGGTCACTGTGGGTTGGCCTTTCCTTTCTTCAAGGGTGCAGAGCAAAATTCTTCTCCTCTCAGGTGGATGCTTGAATTCCTAATAAGGACTCTGCAAAGAGGTACTCCTTCTTTCTACTCTTGTTCACAGCCACCATATCACCTTTGTTATCATCATCAAAATTTGGATTGCCTTTTCCCAGAGATTGTGTTGATTCATGTGCTGGCGTCCATCTTGGGTTACTTAGAGTGCTTAGCTGCTTCTTAGGATCAGCGCTCACTTTTTTCATTTTTTGTACATTTTCGTTTATTGTCTAACAAAGGGTTAACTATCTCAGAGCTTGGGTTCTGCACTATATGGCAATGTGTTTTAACAAAAAAAAAAGTCACTATTTCCCTCCCTAATTAACTTGACATTGCCATCTTTTCAAGGCAATAGAAGTTGTCCTATGATTATGTTTGCTCCAAAAACAACTAAAAAAAAAGGTAAGAAAGCTTTTTTTTTTTTTTTTTAGGTATGCTGTGTGAATGGAAATTTGACTGCAAAAGTGGAAATACACTTTGAAGTGTATGTAAATGCAAGAATTTACTTTCAACTAAGCATTGACATGTACAGTCATTTCAAAAGACATTTTCAGTATTTTGCGGCAAAAAAAAATATTCAAATGAGAGAGAAAATAAGTGTCTTCAGCAGTTTTGATTTTTGTAGTCAGCATACAGAGTGACAAGTCTGAGTCTCAAACAAGAAGGACCCCTTGTATATATCTGTGAGCTGACAACCGCCAATTAAAGAACATCTGAAATCGCATAAATCCAAATATGTTTGTCATTTCAAAGCTTTCCTTCATTTAACCTCTTCATGTCCCGACATTTTAACCCCCTTCCTTTCCCAATTTTCAGCTTTCAGCGCTGTCACACTTTGAATGACAATTGCACAGTCATGCAACACTGTACCCATATGAATTTTTTAGCATTTTTTTGAGACAGATAAAACTTTATTTTGGTGGTATATATTCATCACTGGGATTTTTTTTTTTTTTTGCTATATAAATGAAAGTCCCAAAATTTTGAAACAAAGTGTTTTTCTTATACAATTTTGCAAATAAATAATCTTTCTTCATAATCTTGGCCAAAATGTATTCAGCTATCTTTATAGTAAAAAAAAAATAACCAAAATTAGTTTATAACCAAAAATTATAATTTTTCAAAAACATTTTTTACATTTTTAGTTAATTTTTTTTATATTATTAATATTTTTATGTTTTTTTTTTTTATAAAATACTGTCACCCTAGCAGTACAGTGTCACCATGGTGACACTGTACTACTTGTGGGGGGTGATGAAGATTTTTTTTTTTTTTTTTACACTGATTGCTTTTACACCCATACAGGCTGTAAAAGCAATAATTTCTCCTCTCTGGCTGCATTCTTGCAGCCATTGAGAACTACTGTGTAAGCTGTGATTGGTCACAGCTTGTCACATGTTACAAGGCTGTTGTGAATGGCCTTGTACCATGTGGTCCCGTACAGCGATCGGTGTTCCGCTGTGTCCGGAGGACAGAGCGGGCACCGGATCGCAGTTCCGCACACTCCCAGGAAGCGTGCACAGTCCAAAATGGCGGGTACCATTTATGAACGGCAACCCACCCCTGCACTGCCACCGTCCAGCCATTTATATACAGCGGCCTGATGGGAAGTGGTTAAGAAGCACAGGTGTACAGGATGTAAAACCACTTATATCAAAAGTCTTATCAACATGTTGACATGCATGTTTACAAATAACATGTGAAACTATCACTTTAAATGTGTATCATATTGGTTTAATGGCACACCAAATGTATCTCAATAAAGCCCAACTCCAGGAAAATCTG